TAACACCCTGTATATATATTATTGTGGTTTATTTTAGTATAAAATTGAATAATACTACCTAAAATTGAATTGTACTATCTCTTATGGAGTCCATTTCTTATAATAATAAATGTTCTTATAGTAATTCATCTTTACATATCTTTATATGTAAAATAGCAAAAGAAATAATTGATGACATCAAATTTAAAAATAAAACAAGTTTGAATATTATCGTTTTATATTCTTGTGATGTATTTTTGAATTATGTTAGATATTAATTTCGTTAGATAATAATGTATTTTTGAATTATGTTAGATAGATTAATTTTACTTATATCAATTGCACTTATATTTTTTTTACAATATCAATGTAATGTTTTAATATTGCAGCTTTCTCATTCTGGTACAAAGTATAGCTTATACTTTCGAGATGAGATTCGTTCAATCGACTTTGTACTTGTGTGGGATGAGTATAACGGAGAAGCACAGACTTATCACAGTGTCGAACATAGAAAGGTAAATTGAAATTATTGCTTATATTTGTGCACATACGCGCACTTTAACTAATTCGTGCTGATTATTTACATCGAGGTATTTCTTATAACGGTCATGAGCTATTTTTTAACATTCCCTAGTCACATCTTCGGACAGTTATGTGATGGTCATATTAGGTCAAATTGACTCAACCGGTTTTTAAATGGTTGCCGTTCGAACAGTATCGATCCAGTTGAATACAGAAAATTATAGAACATATTGTGAACATTCCAGAATATGGAATAACCGCATATGTAAGAAATCCAATGATAACATATTAAAAAAAATTGTGAACGTGTATAAAAAATAAGATTTTTTCATTAAAAAATCATAACATTTTCATATTTTCAGTTTTTTAAATAAAATTTATGTGTCATACTTATGAGATGTGATACTTTCAGGAAAAAATTATTTCTGTAGTGCGTGTTGCAAAAAAGATATTTATTTTGTAATTTGAACAGAGTCAATTTTGGAATAAAAAAAGGACATACAATTATGAGACGTAAAAATATTTATTATTATTATTGTGTGAATACAAAAATATGTTTAAATATTTAAAAAGCATTTTATTCTACTCACCCATATTCGATACACAAAAATGTTGTGCTCATCGTATCAGACGGTTGCAAGATGGACATTGCTCCTTCGTCTTATAATCCTTTCTAACGTAGCATAACTTATATCGGAACCTTTTGCTAAGTAACGTTCTTTTGTTTGTGCGACAACATTGTCGATTTCGAAAATGTCTGCAATTCCCTTCTTCACGTTAGTTTCAAGAGATAGTTTCAAGAGATAATTGTTATTGCTATTGCAGATAAGTCAACTAGGTGAAGCAATATTTTTTCCAGGCATCGCTTCGTTGTCAGCACTTCATTGTTTTTCTGACGATTCGCACAATAGTATTTGTGCAAAATTCGGACATTGACGATTGCTTGGTCCAACTGTTGTATATAAGTGGTACAGTTTAATAATAAGGATGATATTGGTCGAAATATGTATATGTATATGTATAATGTTTTGTCATTCTTAAATTTTAATTCAATCATATTTACGTTATATGAAAGGAAAAAAAATAAAACGAGAAAGAATTAAAATTTTTCACGAAAAATCATACTGGTCATACTAATGGTCAGAATGACCCATCTTCACGCGCGATGTATTAAGATCAGCTGCCACGATAAATGAAGCTTTTATTTCGAATAAAGATAGTCTCTACCGAAAGAGGATACTTTAAACTTTGGGTAAAGGTAGGAGAAACCCATTGTAAACCGGGAACTTGTAAGTATACAACTTTAAAGTTGAAACGCGGATCGATTTGACTCATAGCGATCAGGAAGGGTTAAGAAAAGTGTAATAATAATAATAATTTAAGTAAAATCGAGTTAATCGGTGCTATTGTTTAAATGACATAGAAATAGTTTACATTATTATACGCATTGTGACGTGACAGCCTTAGGAGTGCCTGTCACAAAGGGCGAAAGCCTCCGTGTGGATCGGTTGGCGAGCGTCGCATTTCACAGACAATACGCTTCGAGTCAGTGTCGAAATAATTAGTATTATAATAAGTCACGAGTATTCGTGTTAGATAAAATCGGTAGTCATTGTGTCCCAATAAGTGTGTCTCTGTGTTTCCCTTGCCGGCCATCAGGGCAGGAGGAGCAGCACAACGAGGGACCGAGATCTTTATCGAAGCTTTGGTATATCGTCTTGCCAATTCCAGGTAATTATCTTCAATATTGTACAGAACAATAGAATAGTTATCGTTTCGAAGTCGAATATTATATTGTTTACAGGCGATCTATTGAGGCACGCCGGTGAGAAAGGCAAGAGGTATCACACGGCTGCACTATAGATTGAAATATTGAACGGTGATTTTGACGTCGAAGACCGGCATAGCGGTGGAAGAGAGAAGGTTTTCGAAGATGCAGAATTGGAGGCATTACTTGATCAAGACTCGTGTCAAAATCAAGAAGAATTGGCACGATCATTGGGAGTGACTCAACAAGCCATTTCAAAACGACAAAGTCATGGGAATGATTCAGAAGCAAGGAAATTGGGTGTCGTACGAATTGAAGCCGAGAGATGTTGAACGGCCTTTGTTTGCTTGTGAACAGCTGCTTGAAAGGCAAAGACGGAAGGGATTTCTGCATCGCAGTGTGACTGGGGACGAAAAATGGGTTCATTACGATAACCCCAAGCGCAGAAAATTATGGGGAGTTCCCGGCCATGCTTCCACGTCGACGGCCAAACCGAATATACACGGCTCCAAGGTCATGCTCTGTATTTAGTGGGACTAGCTCGGCGTAGTGTATTATGAGCTGTTAAAACAGACTGAAACAATCACAGGCGATCGTTATCGAACGCAATTGATGCGTTTGAGCCGAGCATTGAAAGACAAACGGCCGCAATACAACGAGAGACACGATAAAGTAATTTTGCGATAAAGTGATTTTGCAGCATGACAATGCTCGACCCCATGTTGCAAAAGTAGTCAAGACATACTTGGAAACGTTGAAATGGGAAATCCTATCCACCTGCCGTATTCTGCAGACGTTGCTCCCTCTGACTATCACTTATTTCGATCAATGGCACACGGCCAGCACACGGCCAGCCTGGCTGACCAGCACTTCCGGTCTTATGAAGAAGTAAAAAATTGGATCGATTTGTGGATCGCCTCAAAAGATGACCAGTTTTTTCGACGCGGGATTCGTACGCTGCCCGAAAGATGGGAGGAAGTGGCCAGTGATGGACAATACTTTGAATCATAAATATATAACCATTCTTTTATAATAAAGCCTCGAATTTCGGAAAAAAACGGCGGAAGCAAAGTTGTAATAATAAAAATGATATCGTTTCATGTGAAAATTACATCAATTTTATATAATTTGATGTCATTTTGACTTTAATAAGACTTTGTGTTCTACCTGGGTTTCCAGTAGTTACAAGCAGAGTCGTAATGACGTGAGCTGCTTCCCAGGTAGAACACAAAATCATTTTGAAGTCAAGATGATTTTATTTTGACATTATTGTAATTAAATTGTCACAAAAATTTTATGGTTCCACGTGAAAATGACATCACTTTTATATAATTAGATGTCATTTTGGCTTTTATAAAACTTTGTGTTCTACCTGGGTTTCCAGTACTTATAAGCAGAGTCATCTTACTTGACGTGAGCTGATTCACAGTAGTTACAAGCAATGTCGTCTTCACGTGAGCTGCTTCCCAGATAGAACACAAAATCATTTTTATGTCAAGATAATTTAATTTTGACAGCATTGTAATGAAATTGTATTAAAAATGATATCGTTTCACGTGAAAATTACATCAATTTTATGTAATTTGACGTCATTTTGACTTTAATAAGACTTTGTGTTCTACTTGGATTTCCAGTAGTTATAAGCAGAGCCGTCTTACTTGATATATGCTACTTGTTAAGTGCCATGCGTCTTTTTTGATGTATATAGTAGTGCGTCGCAGTTATTACTGCCAGAATTGTCGTATTTGACGTGTGCTGCTTGTCTAAGTGACCACTGCTACAGATATTTTTTTAAAGTGTGCTGCATGCCAATGGTTTACACCAGTACCCGGAATTATTTCCACATTTCGGGCAGATTTCAGAGATAACGCCTACCACTCCTCCCGCAGCTGCTCCCTGCTCGCCGACTAGGCTACCGATCACGCGTGAGATGTTCGACCTCAGGATCGTATCATTGATCGTTAAATTATTATCAAAATATTTTTTCCCCAATAATTTTTATTTTTATAAATAAACACTTTTTTATTTGTAACTATATACATGTGTATATATACAGAGTGTCCAAGAAGTACCGGAACGGCAAGATAACTCGGCGGGGGAGCATTTTAGAGAAAAATGTTTCAGACAAAAGTTGTAAGGCTTAAAAAAACGCATTCAACGATAGTAGTTATTTGACAGAGGATGGCGTCGCCAAGGTTAGAACAAGGTCAACTTTGCTTTTTTAAATAGAAATATATTTTTTATTACGACATTTTATTTTACGTAAAAAAGCAGACAACTTTTGCTTGAAAAAATTTTTTATACGACCTCTATTTGCTAAGATATTTACGTAATTATCTACAAAATTATTGGTTTCAATAATTTTTTACTTGAATTCTATCAACTTTACCGAAAAATATCAAGAGATAAAAATTGTATATTTTGTACTCATAGATCTCTGAGAATTTTTTCAGAATTTTATATTAACGTTTTAGTACTTCATTTTCTTGCATTTTCTTGAAGTACTAAAAAGTTAACACAAAATTCTGAAAAAATTCACAGAGCTCTATGAAAACAAAATAAGTAATTTTTATCTCTTGATATTTTTCGGTAAAGTTGATAGAATTCAAGTCAGAAATTATTGAAACCAATAATTTTGTAGATATTTACGTAAATATATTAGAAAATAGAAGTCGTATAAAAAATTTTTTCAAGCAAAAGTTGTCTGCTTTTTTACGTAAAATAAAGT